ATGCACATAGCCGCAACAAGGTGGAGGATTCGATAGGGCGATACGTGCTTGGGTTCGAACCAGCCGCAGAATGGCCGCGATGCTAGCCATAGTGTGAGCCCGGTGATGGTGAAATGGTAGGCGGCGAAGGATACTTGTGAGTTGCGGAAAGATGCATTGGAGAGGATGGATTTGTTAGTGAAGACCTGATTGAGTGTGTCAGTAACTAGTAATAATCATCTTCATGTCTAGCATGACAGAAACTTACAATAGCAACAGTCGCGACAATATTGATTGTCATCCATACAAGAAGTCCAATACTCCCTATCTGCTTTTCCGGCTCCTCAGATAACACCCCAGGCCTCTTTTCGTCCTCATATGAATAATATCCCAGCTCCAGCTTCACATCGTCCGATGATGGTGGTGGTGGTGGTGATGATGATGGTGGTGGGCTTGCAGGAGTGCAGCTTATCGAAGTCAATAGACCCTTGCACTCATCGTCCTTCGGGTTCGTTTCTGCAACAACCATGTTGAAAACCCAGTATAGTATAATTGGATCGGTTCAGTGTATCGTGTTTCTTGCTAGAGGGTTGAGGCTCTGCAATAAACACAGCATATCTTCCCCGGGTCCTAAAAGCTATGTATGCACCAGGGATGTCTATTTCAAGGAAAGAAAGAAACTCTACCACCATCCACTCCACTTTCTCTCAATGACATCTACCTTGGTTGGGTGGCGCTACAGGTCATGTCCAACAAGTCTACCAAGTACGTGATGTGTAGAGTGACCCAGAGGTTGTGGTGCTAGAGAGAAGAACGCACTGAAACATCATGAGGCCCCACGACCCAGACTTGCGCGAGTGTGCTCTACCGTATCCAAGGGCACATAATTTTAAAAAAGAATCGGTCAGAAAGGAACCTCAATGTTACACTTTATAGTTACTTCTCGTACTCGTGATGTGCGCCAGGGGGGCGGGGAACCTGGATCGAAGCCGGAAACGGAAGTAAGATAGGGATGGTTGCGGGCACTGGAATGTGGGTTTGTACTGCTCCTGTAAACCTTGGGAGAGGGGTGGCGGTTCCTGTTTCCGTCAGGGACCAGACTTTGTATGCTTAGACTCTGAATTTCGCGGGAATTGAGCTTGGGGTTCTCCGTTCATTTGTAGGGTCGTTGTGGTTGGAAGAGAGATCGATGTGTTGTACGGGCCAGGTTCCATGGACTGCGCAGCAAGAGCGACCTGGGCCAGGCTCTTCTTATCTATTGGAGGCACAAAAGCCATAGCTAAGGGTTAAACAAGGGACAATACATTCTTGGATATAATTACTATAAGTCACGCTAGCAAATATGTACCAACAAGCTCAAGAAACTAGATAACCCCTCGGGTACTCGAACTCCTTCCAATCCAACACGCGCCGCGACCAAGGAAAACCCTCATCATACTGGGCATGAACAGTATCCCTACCAGCCACCAGTCGATGAATATTCAGTCGAGTGCTGTACATGAGGTTCCAGGCCTGTGCCTCGTGCCACGCGTCGCTGCCTTCACGGATGTCCGAATCCTTCGACGCAAGACCGGCCGCTTTATACGTGCCGATGATGTTGGGGAACGGCGCATAACACTCGATCTGCGAACGGCCATCCTTACCACCACACATATCAGCCATAGAGTTATCCACTGCAGCCACGAGCCGATCGACTGCTAAGGCGGCTAGAATCCTCTCTGCGCCTCGCTTGGTCACCGCGTACCCATAGGTGCAGCAGCCCATATCAGCCCGATAAATGAAACGAGTCGACGTCTCAGGATAAATCTCCTTCCATGAGTCGAGGGGGCCGCCCCACGTACCACGGTGATCGACACTGGGGACAGTTGGGTCATTTGGGATGGCATAGAATTGCGTCTCGTTGGGAGCGGCAGATGAAGCGCATCCGCCCACCCAGAGGATGTCCCAGTTGGTGCCGTATGGAGCGCTCTTGGTCGTATTAGCATTTCTGGTTAACGCGCGCACGCCTCGAGCGAATTCGCGGAGTTGCTGCCTAATGCTCACGTCCCAGTCTGCGTCGTCTTCAAGGATAAGCGCTGTTGAGTAGGAATTTTGGACCATACTATATCATGATAATGTCAGCTTAGATCAGGATAGGGTTTTCGCATCGACGAAGGAGCATACTGACTTGCTCAAAGCGTTCATATGAGCGCGCCAGCATCCTATCTCGGATGGTGCTAATAGATTATCCTAAAAGAGATGTTAGCTATGGCCAGAGGTCTCGGACATAAAGCAGCGTACGTTGAGCAGAGCCTTCTCACTCATATCCTCTGGATGTACCCCGTCTACCCATTCGACCCGAAACCCGGCTATCGACGCAGCGAGGTTGAGGAAATCGCGCTTATCTGTTCGTTCTTTCAGCCCAATGGCGTAAATGTGTTCAAACTGTCGAAAACCGTTAGTAAATACGTAACGGACATCATCAGGAAATGTAAAACGGAACAAACCCCAAGCGTCTCATTCTGAATATGCTCCAGCGCCCGATCCTCTAACGTGGACCGCGCGATCTTCACCCAGTCCTGTTTCCAATACTTTTCCCCCGTACCACTGAATAAAAGAGTGAGAATAATATAACTGGCGAATGCAGCGACAATGTATTTCGTAAATCTGGATTTCCCCCGAATCATGCTGAGAACTGGCGCCAGTTGAAGATGATCTATAAAGTGAGAGGAGACATTGAACAAGGTGAAATATCTTGCATATCGCAAACTGCACACTTCTTGCGCCTTCTCGTGAAGTTTCTTGGTAATCATGGGTCACTATTTTAGGATTATATGGGTAAACCTTAAGAAAGAAAAGCTGGACGTTTTGGGTTGTATCCACATTCTTTGTTCAGGAACGGCAGGTTGGTACGTAGAAGCAATCTTTCCCGAAAACGGGAATCGACACTCCGGCATGGATACGATGTAGTGGAGATTCAAGGTAGCCCCGCAGCAACAAAAGACTTTCTTTTAAGTTTATGGATGAGGAACTGGTCGCCCAGGGATGGATCAGAGATGGCCCTAATATTGGCCTTGGGAGTGGTCTCAAGCCATAGGACCATTACACCACCATACAGGAAACAATATAGAATATTCTCTGTCAGTAACACTATCATGTCTCGGCCAGTAATTCCATGCATTGATCCACTCTTCTAGTCGGTGTAAATAGAACTGCAAGCTAGCTTCGTGGTTATACGAATTAATACTTATATTTATCGGGATTCATAAATTATCAAGGTACATAGTATAAAGAAATGCAACTTAAGTCCCTAGTGTATTATTCACAGCCATAAGATTACTTATGTTGATTGTTGGTTAGTTATCTTAATGTTTAGTTGATTCTTTGGAACTGAGAGGTAGTCGGAGGTATGCACAAGTTCTACTCCCTACTGCGTTCTCGTATAATCCGGCTCTACTTTGGGGCAGAGTCGGCTTGCATTTACCAGGTTGGTGGTTGGGGTTAGATGAACAAGCATCTGAGAGAGGCCACCCCCGCGATGGAAAGAGGTAAAAAGGAAATAAAGAATGCAAACAGTGCATATAACTTGTACTGTGTTAAGAGGTGGGAAAGGGAAGAAGAAGAAAAAAAAAAAAAAAAAAAAAAAAAGAAAGCCCCTGGTGGGGATCACCACCAGCCTTAAGATCTCAATCTAGCTGCGGAGATAGTAACGTGTTTGCTGTAAAGAGGTCCTCGGGAGTACTTGCAAGTCTTACGCGCTACCGATTGCGCCACAAGGGCCACTTGTGTTGAAATGGCTTTACGAAGTTTGTCTTATTACCGCAGGGGGTTATGACCCGCGGATATCGCATTTTCTTGCAAATTTAACAACACCGCCAAGAATTTCCTATTGCGATTATACGAACATCGTATTGCGGGTGGTGTTTATGCTTATTAGAGAGCATCCTAGAATTGCGCGATCTGAATTGAAGTTGACCTGGTTCGGAAGCCACACTTGACAGATAAGATAAACTATAACTGATCATATTAAGAACCATTTCTATCGAGTGATTTCCCATGATGTATCTTACTCCTAAGTACCAACTTGGCTCAGGGTAAGTATACTTCTTCGGAGCCAGTCATCCAAGCAGATGGAAGGTGACTGTAGAAATGGTAGTAGTAGACATGGATGTTGCATGCTATTTGGACAATAAGGCATACATCTACGATCCCATCTACGCCTTTATCTTTGGCTGACGGATCATACAATACAGCTGTGCTCATTAGCTCACCCACACGGCGACATAAGAAACCCAACAAAAGCTGAAAAGTCTCACATACCTTGCATTTATCCTTGCCATCCACACACTCAATCTCACTGACCATCTCGAACCCCAATTTCTCATAGATCATCAGGTTCGGGAACCCCTTGGAACTTTCCAAGTAGCAAGGCATGCCCTCTCGGTCAGCTTGTTGACTAACTACCTCGACCAATTTCCGACCCAGCCCCATTCCTCGCATCGAGGAGTCGACCGCGATCACATTACAGAAGTAGTAGCCGCGGGGATCAGTCCAAACTCGGTCGTGAGTCTCCTGTTGTCGGGCTTTCCAGAGCCAGTACCGACGGACATTAAGGCCACCTCGGCCACCGAATCGGATGTTATTGTACAGCTGGCGGAAGGAGAGGATCCAGTCTTGCGCCCAGACGGACCAGGGGACAGGCTCGGACGGGGGTTGCGGGCTGTACCACCAGCAGACGCCGACGACGGAGGAATCGGTGGGAATCTTGTCTCTGGGGGTGTTGGTGGTGTATTTGGCCACGAAAATAGGCTCGTTGCAGGAAAGGCCGTAGAGGAAGTGTGCAGCAAGAGAGGCAGCGTTGCGGTGAATGTTGAACTGTTCATAATTGTGTTTAGTTTTATTTATATGGTAGAGCTGGAACTGACAGTGCAGAGTAGGGAGCGGGATTCTACATGTACAACTCTAGCTCAATCTGTACATCGTTCGAGGTACCTGGTATCTCTAACCGAGAATGGAAGGTCCTCGAACGGAGGGCTACTTACCCCGGATTTATTGTTGAATACCCAGTGAAAGTACGGGTCGTCGGCGAACGCTTTCTGTATGCATGCTACGGCCGAGGGGATGTCCTCTTTTGTGAGGGGAAGGATCTCGATGGCCATATTGGGTTTGTTTGTTTGCTTTGTTCTCGTAATTGGATTGGGCTTGGATTGGGGAAGATATTGAGTTTAAAATGTATGATTCGAAAAACGTATTTGATAAGTGCATTCAATTCCTACTGGCTCTGCGAATAGGTTGCGAAAGGGCAATAGTATATGCGTGAGAATGACGACGGAGGGGATAAAGAGAGAGCGCCATCTATTGATGGGAGCCGAGATAGACGGACAGGTCGAGAAGGGAAAGCGCGGGTGAGTCGCGAGGACACCAACCAGATGAGGTCTTTGATGGAACTGGCAGTTAAGATTGATGATGATGATGAAGAAGATGAAGGTGAGAGACGGACTGTGAGAGGGTATATTTATCTGGGTTTCCTCTCTTTCATGCTGCCACCCTCCCTTCGTTCCCAAATAGGCAAGTCCTACACCGACCCCGTGACAGCCCACGCTAACTTGGTTTGGTAGTTCGATGCGGCGCCGCCCGGCTCTGTTCTCCCCCTTCCCCACCAATCATATCCCCAAGATCGTCCACCATTGACGATCGCCAAGCCACTAGACGCGATTCGGCAGGTTTTGCCGGAGGATCAGCTGGTCGGCAGGGCTTATCGTATCATGGGGATAGCTTCACGCACGGGGAAGCTGCCATCTACCGACCCTACGATAGCCGAGTGATGAGACGAGTGGCATATGAGATATAGCCGAGCTTGAATAAACCTTATAACGGGTTACGGAAGGGTACCTTAGAAGACAAGACTATCAGATCCGACCCACCTTACCGTGGCTGGGATATAGGTTCTATCGATTGTGCAATAGCCCCATTTGTGTAGCATAGAGCAGTGCTCGTTACACCGTGACAGATAACGTGTGTAATTGGCTTCCTAAAAGATCGATCACTTGAACTAGTCTTATATACAAGCCGAATATGGTTGATTTTGACCTATAGTCCCAGCTTGCGCTGGTGAAGGTATCTTTCTTTTCTTTTTTCTCGCATTTTCATGACAAGCAGAACATTCAGGGTTGGGTACGGAGTAACAAGCTTTTTCTTCTTGCTGACACTCGACACCTACCCAAGGGGAAGGCCAGCCGGCCCACTTCTACTAACGGGGACTATCCCCACTATCTACATGGCAATAATAGTGGTACTTCGGTTACTGCAATGCGTGCCTTTCTCTACGAGGCAAAGTCTTTCTCTTGACCTAGCTAGCGACTCTGACAGTTCCGGTCATCCATGGCAACGAATAGATCGTGTCGGTCAGGCCAAGTTGCCCCACCATCCAGGGGTCTTGCAGGTGGATATCTCGCTACTCGGAGTAGACGAGTTCACTTGTTCTCGCATATTGAATGCTAGAAAGACTCGAAGCAACTACAGAATACACCGATACTACTCAAAGACTCCTAAGGCCTTAGATTACTAGGTACCCGCCGTACTATCATCGATATATTTTTCAGTAGTAGCAACAGCAGTAGCAACAGCGTGTAGCCACTTGTCAAGCATCATTATAGTCCTGACATCACTGCGATCAACTATCTACTTGGCGGCGGGTCCGACGCTTTTTGTTGGTGGCAGTCCTCTCCGCCATATCATCCTGCCCATCCGGTGCATTTCGTGCTCCACGACGCCCTCTTTTGGGGCGCGTCTCCTTTCCTGTCGCCAGATTTGATGGTACTGGGCTCTCCAATGACCCATCTGCAGCTGGATCATGCAAGTGACTATCTATGCCAATTGAATCAGCCTGTTCCACAGATACAGCTTGCTGCCGGAGTCGACTAAATGCTTTCTCCATCCTTGTCTGTCCACCACTGCGGACACGCGGTGCAAAAGCACCCGCTCCTTGCGGACCGCTGAAGAAACTAGTAATATTCGATTGTGTGCCCTCCTGCTCTCTGCGGTTCATATCGCGAATTACGGGTACCAGCACCTCATCAGTGCGTTCTTGACTCCAGCCAATTGTTGACATAAGGAAGTCCCTTAGACCATGCAAGTCGGGCACTCCCCACTGAAAGGGAGACGGGTCCGAATCCACCTCTGGTTCCAGATACGCGGCATCGACTCGGGGATCGGGGAAAGATGGTGGTAGGAAGATTTTTGTAGCATGCTTTTTGAACTTCTTGTAGAATGCTGCATGGCTATCGTTGCCCATATTGAGTCCTGTCTGCACCTGCGTCCACCAATCACGGAATTCTTCCAGTGTCCCAAATTCAGTGAGGATCTCTAAAGCAGTTACAGGTCCGATGCCGGGAATTCCTTCTGTGTAGTCGCTCCCTAATAAATGGGCGAGCCTGATGAGTTTGGTGCGGAACAGAGAGTACTCTTTCTCTAGGTCAGTTGTGAGGTAGCATTCCACAAATTTGCTTTGATTGAACATGTTTTTGTAGACGCGTGTGCCTCCAAATAAAAATACATCACTATCATCGGTGATGATACCATCAACAAGGCCAAGTGACACCAGTTCTGCACACTGGGCTTCAGCTTCCATAGGGGCCGTGACGTATGGAAGACCGAATAGCCTCAGCAACTGCTGGCATTCAGTAATCATGACTTGTGACACTTCGTCTGCATCTCGGCGGTCCTTCTTTTGCTGCGACCGCAACTGTCTTAGCTCTTGTTCGTAGTCAAATGGAAGTTCGGTGTGAGAAGTAGAGTTTAGTGTCGCTGCAAAGCGTACATGCTCTTCCCCTTCAGCCGCAAGCTGTTCGAGTAATTGCTCGTCTTCAGGATCTGAAAAATTGTCGTCATCATAATATTCTTCCACTTGGTCTGATTGATCTAGGGTAGTTGGCTCCGTGGGTATGTTGTCTTGCTGTATGACAACATCCTCGAACTCAGGCGATGGCGACATTTCGGGGTGCCTCAAATCTGTTTCATCATCAATGGAGATGTGTTTCTCCGTCATAGATGGATTGGACGCATCCACTGCAATGATATCTCCCGTATGTGCTTCCAAAGCTTCGGCATCCTTTGTTTCAGTCGCTTGTGCTTCGACAGGAGTTACTTGTGGTCCAACCTCGAGTTTGATTTGAGATTCTTGACCACCACCGTTCAATTGAGGAGTCGGCTCCAAGTCAATGAATGGTTTTGAGCCTTTTGGAGCCCCTGAATCATGGTCCCCCATCGTTTCTTCATCGCCAACGATGAACACGTGATCTGGTACATCCTGCTCACTAGGCGGCTTCATCACAGGACGATGTTGAACCTCATCACTGACGAACTCAGCATCCTTGACACTTTGCGATGGCCCTGAGAACCACGGCGGCAGTATCTGGATATCCTTCGTCTTACTTGATCCATTGTCGGATTTTGTTGCACCAGCTTCTTGTTCAGCTGATTTATCACGGTTGATTAACTTTCCAGCTTTGAACGGTTTAAGTGATTCAAAGGGTAGCGGGCCATCGAAGGGGTTACCTGCCACTTTGGGCGGTGCTTTCTTTACTCTCTTAGATTGTGCTAAGGCGGCGACAAAGTCCATTCCTTCGTCATCACTATGATCCGTAAGGTCTGCGGGGGCCTCGTGGATGGTTGGAGGCATAAAGTTCTGGTTAAGCTGGATTTCAGGTAGATCATCATCGTTGGTATCGGCATCGGCACCAACACCAGATTGGAGAGACATCGCGATCGCTCGTTGAAGCGTTTCGTCATCATCATCTCCAGTGGAATCGAACAATGTATCTGTGGTATGGTGGTTATGCTTCGCTAGTTCGTTCTGACCACCTTCCACGAAAAGGGAGTCATCGTTGACTTCCTGCAGTTCGGGGCCTCCTGTATCCAAGCTATCACGCATCTGGTTCCTGCTAAATTTGTCGAAAACCCCTTTCTGAAGGGAAGGCAGCTTAGGAAGTCGGTTCAATCCTTCGATAGGCACATCTTCAAAGCCACCATCATCGTCATCCGAATTATCCTCTTTGTCAGGGAATATCAGCTGCTGACCATACTGATCAACATCGATAGGTTTGTCCTCCTGGCCTTCTTTGTTTCCCACAACTCCCAAAACCCAGCCCCCTTCAATGGTATCATCCTTCACCAAGACATACTCCTTCCCGCGTTCTCCGGCAATACGATGTCCTGATTTGTACAGAGCATCTTCACCATTCATGCCGTTGATATTCATCAGTCGTTGGGTTAAGTCATTGCGCTCCTTTACACGCTCGATTTGAAACTTCGAGAATGCCATTCTATTAGGAAACATGCTGTCTAGTTGCTCCTTTGAGTACCCCATCCGGAGACGGCTTCGGAGTCTGGCCGCATTGAGGATATTGTACCGGTCCGTCGCCGGGAGACTGACGAAGAATGGGCTATCAAAGTCAATTTTCGAGAAATCATACAAATTGATATCTTCTCCTTGATGAAACTGCCTCGCATATTCCTCCAATTCTTCCTGTGACATGATGCGAGGGTCATTGGGGGCCCCTATCTCTTCGAGGCTGGTTTGTAAATCCGGCAGATGATAGGCGTCTTTCTTCTTGAATGACCGCGTCTGCTTCTTTTCCTGTTCGGTTATGAAAGCATCACCAACATAAACAGGGTTGTCCGGCACCTCCTCTTCATTTTCCGCTCTCCCCCTCCGGCGGATAGCCGCCTCTTCCTCAGCAGACCTTTGCAGCTGCACAGCCAGCAGCTTTCCAGCGGTCCGCACGGCATCTTCTCGCCGACCTTCGCGCCGTTTCTTCCGGTTTGCTATAGTCTGGCGCTTGAGGACCGGAGCGCCACCATCAAACACGAAGACCGGCTGGATTCCGAAGTAGAGTAGTTTGCATATGCGGCGAAAGAAGCCCACGATATGAGAGTTCCGGAGGGCATTGCCTTCTTTGTCGCGTACCGCCTTCAAAAACTGGTAAATCCATATCGAGGCATCGACAGCCAGGCGCTTTTTATTGAGAGTTTCCAATTTGATGGGCCGTGCACAAGGATGTACGACCGTCCAGAGCCCATGGACACCCATGCTGCTTCAGCAGTCCCGATATTATGGGCTATGACAGCCGTACCCAAGTACCGAATACTTACACGTCATATACGTTGTATGAGATGAAACCTACTAGGCGATTGTTTTGACGACTTCAGACGACGCGGATCAACTGTAGTCGGGAGGCGTCGATGAGGTCATCGGACACTTTGTGACACGTGACACTGCCTGATATCAAATCACGTGATTTATATTACCGGAGCCGACACGATGGCTTCAGGGGCTGATGGATTTCTCATGAATGTATGTCAAAAGCAAAATTTGCAAGCTAATGGCGGGGGAATATCTAGATCATGCAAAAGTAGCTCTCTCACAACCCTCATCACTGTGGCGACTCTGCTGGACTCAGGAATCCGGCTCTCTTTTCCATGCGCTTCCATTCAGCTGTTCAGTTCTCACCTGGGTGCGCTACTATCCCCTACAGCTTGTCTTTCCAGAATCAATCGATTCTCCTTTCTGGTCCAGAGATTGAAAAATTAGTCCCAGTTATCTTGATGGTGACCTTCAGTTCCACGTTCGATTTCAAAATTTGTAGGATAGAATCCGTGAACCCTCCGTCTACCAGGCAGCCTTTAGAAATCAGTCACAATCCCTCCCGGACATCGATGATGCAGGTTACCGCAGCCCAGCGTACAGCGATGGTGAGGTAATTGATTTCATGAAGTGCTTTGGCGCACTGTAAAAGCAAACCAGTAGATCCCCGGTGTATGTCTTGTTCTATCGGGCGTGTGTTCTTGACTTCTCCTATGGAAGAACATAACTCTTATGGTGGATCAGAATCGAGACTCTATGTATGGGTGGAGATGGTCATGTTTGCGATCTAATTAGGATATGTAAATTATAAGTCCGTAGACACAGTCAGGTTCGAAAGATGAGACCGTAGAATTTAAAGAGACCATGGACATGGAGATCGGGTACTGTGCCTGTGCTTGATGAATTTTCCATGATACATGTAATATTGCACACAAACCAATCATTCCACCACCAACGCCACGTGGCACCCGGGAATATCAAACTTAGCACTTGATTTGACGGAATTAGAGGCCTCTGGTCCGACCACAGGCTGCGAATAAGTGATCGCTTTCTCCGATAGCGCACCAAAGAACTGAGGTACAACACCCAGGTCCTTCTCCGAGCCATCGGAAGAGCTGGGAATGGCCTCGGAATCAGCAACGATGCCGAAATCAAACCGGATGCTCCCCTCTTGACAAGAAGGATTCGGGGCATGGTCTGTTTCCACAGAAACAAAAAATTGAATATAGTCACCCGGTCCTGCAGCTTGAGACAAACTTGACATACTTTCATCCAGTTGTGGCATCTCAAAGAACGCAGGCGGCGGGGTAGATATATCTGAGAGCGTTTGAGTCTCCTGGTCTGCGAAGATATCGTCTAGGCCCAGGAGCCCCTGATTATTGTCTGTTTCAATAAAAGTAGTTTCAGGGTCTAAAGATAGAAGGCCTTGTTTCTTTCCCCATCCACCGCCACCACTCATAACCCGATGGAGTTTGCCTCCTGCGCGGATTGCTTTTACGAGGCTCTCCTGCATATTAGCGTTGTTTTCCAATTGAAAGCCCCTTTCGGAATTCTCAATCAGGGCCCAAACAGAAACCCTTCGGTCAACAATGCCGTGTTCCTCAATGTAGCGTGGCAGTTCCTTTTCCAGTTCAGATGAAGCTGGCATTGGTTCCGTTGATTGACTATCCAGATGTTTTGCCAACTGACGAAGGATATTTCCCATGCTTGAGATAACTCTCCTTCGTTGGCCAACAGGATAGAGCGGTAGATTAAATGAATTTTGGACGGAAGCAACCGCTGAGGTCACCGTGCAATTCGAGAGATTCACTGATTGCTCTAAGGTATATTGCTGAGAAGGCGTATAAGTCCAGCGCGTGCCAAAAAGAGTGCTATCATTCCCGTTGATGAATATTGTATTGGCAAGACGCAGTCCGAGTTCATGAGTCGGCCTCTGCAAAGCCTCGGAGTATGTGTCGTTTTGAAGTGTAAAGACCAGACTGGACTCTGCAGCTTCCATACTCCGAACACGACGAGGCACAGCAATGGTTCCCTGTATATTTTCTGCCTTTACCAGCAAGAACGAAACTCCATCAGAGTCAGATGAAGTTTTGCTGTCGACAAGCCCTTCGAGCCTGGCGCGGAGGTCGGGTAGCTTATCGACCACGGCAACAATGGCATGGAGAGGTCCAGACGATTCGCGGTTGGGTGTAGATGGATATAAAGAGTTGATCAATTGTTCCAGAAAGCGGTTCGATGACACATCAATCCAGTGGGCGAATGCAGAAGTGACTAGGAGGACAGGTACGTAGTTTAACGAGAGAAAGTCTGGAATGGGGGATACGCTCGAAAGGACGTCATCTGGTGTCTCTTGGAACCCTTAGTCAATGGGAACTGTCATAGGCAGATAGCAATTCTCACAATTTGGCCCGGCGTTCTTGTTAGCCAGGTATATGCCAACGGAAGATCTTTAGCCTCAGTGCTCCTCGATGACGCAGCTGCGTTTTGGGAGATCAGTCGGACCAGGGATGTCGCTTTTTGTTTCGGTTTAGCATGTCCGACAGTAGCCAGCCGTACTGACAGAAAGCGCGGGACGCGCCCGAGTATTAAAGACATGGAAGCAGCATGGATATCGACACGGGACGGTCGATCGATACAAATAATAGCTGATTCGAGGTGATCATAAGGATTTGGGGAAATGCGGAGATAGCGGGAGATTTTCTGGCCTCCACCGCCCTGCTTATCATATCGGCATGTGAGTGGCAGGATTCACGTGATGATATGGTGCTTCTCCACTTGCTTTCCTAAGCAATCTTCTGCCTTTCTTCGGCGTGTTGCGAGGTAAAAGGGGCAAATGTTAAGAAAAGTCGCGGTTGCTTTGTAGACAGTATGTTCGTGTTGTACGCGCAGTGAGGGTTCATGCGGGCCCCCTTATACTTGGTAGATACATATGCGTACTTTGGGCTGGATTTAGTTCTGATGCATCTTGTATAGATCCAACGCGCGGCTTTCATATTATGCATCCCGTTGTTTGGGGCCTTATGCAGAGCTGGACGGAAGATCAGCGATGGGGAGCCCCAATCTGGTCTTCATCATGTCCGCGCAAATATTAAAAGTGCTAGTTGGTTAGTTAATAATGATAATGATTAATAACACTACTCCGCAGATAGGCCCAACAAGGGACGGGAGGCAAACCAGGCCGATAAGCAGCCTCACGTGATGCCAGGGACTTGGACCCGCCCCCTCACAGAAGTCCTGATCGATGATACTCTGGCAGTCAAAGAGACTTTGAATGCTTTTTACTCGATGGCCGCTAATGCCCGCCGTACTACACGGCATCTTGACCCAGCTTCTTCAAGGAGCAGAGGATTCTCTTACTCTCCTCCTGACTCAGCAATCTAACGCTTGGTTCAGAACGGGTAATCCACCCTGACTACTTTCATGATGCCAAAACTGTGGTCCTGCGCCAGCTCGGCGAAGATGAGTATTCCAAGCCGAGTTATGCCGGCTTCTCACGTCGCCAGATTAGCCATCTGGAACCCCCGTAATCACAGCACCAATGCCATAGCGACAGCTACCCGATCCGAAGATGGGCCATCCTCACCGGCCCCCTCTACCGACTCCGTGCCGCCACGATGGGCTGCTCTAAAATCAGCGAAGCCCTTCTCGGAATTTCTGACAGATACCTTCAACCGCCAGCACGACTACCTCCGCATCAGTGTGACCGAGCGATGCAATCTCCGCTGTCTCTACTGCATGCCTGAGGAAGGCGTACCATTATCTCCACCGGCTCGTCTCCTTACCTCTCCCGAAATCATATACCTCTCGTCGCTCTTCGTCTCGCAGGGTGTGACCAAGATACGTTTGACAGGCGGTGAGCCTACCGTTCGCAAGGATATTATCCCCCTCATGCAGTCGATCGGGGAACTGCGTCGCAATGGCCTTCGTGAGCTTTGTCTGACAACGAATGGCATCTCGCTACACCGGAAGCTGGACGCCATGGTTGATGCCGGCTTGACTGGAATCAACCTTAGCCTTGATACGTTGGATCCCTTTCAATTCCAGATTATGACGCGACGAAAGGGTTTCGATGCGGTGATGCGGAGTATAGACCGGGTGGTGGAATTAAACAAAGCCGGGGCTGGGATCAAGCTAAAGATCAACTGCGTGGTGATGCGGGGGATCAATGATCGGGAAATCATCCCTTTCATCGAGTTAGGGCGGAATGACCCCATTGAGATACGCTTCATCGAGTACATGCCCTTTGATGGCAATAAATGGAGCCAGGGTAAGATGGTCTCTTACCAAGAAATGCTGGCAACCATCCAGGAGAAGTACCCCACTCTCCAGAAGGTGCCAGATCACAAGAACAACACAAGCAAAACTTATCAGGTTCCTGGCTTCAAAGGCCAGATTGGCTTCATCACCAGCATGACGCATAACTTCTGTGGTACCTGCAACCGGTTACGCATTACATGTGACGGGAACCTGAAGGTCTGTTTGTTCGGTAACGCCGAAGTGTCCTTGCGAGATATACTTCGGAAGGGAAACAACGGGGAACCCATTAGTGAAGCCAGGATGGAGGAGCTGGAATCTGATGATCTTGTCCGGAGAGAGGAGCTGCTGGATCTCATTGGAGTAGCGGTTAAGAGGAAGAAGGCAAAACATGCTGGCATGGGTGAGCTCAAAGATATGAAAAACAGGCCGATGATACTTATTGGTGGGTAAGCATGGATCTGTCAAATATTTTGGTATGAATTGTCTTTCTTTTGGGATGGCCACTCCTTGGGCTGGTGACACGACTTATATGAATCATGAAGAGTGCATAATTTTCTTACTACTGGCAGACCGCGCTGATAGACATCAATTAGAAAGTAATCCATTCTCCACTATGAATGCTACTAAACTATATAGCCATCCCCCAATTCACGTGACTGTGGCTGCCTATGACATGTTGCGGCCCCATCGGAGCTCCTAGTGTCTGTCACGTGGGCGCCTAGCGACTTTTCAGCCCAGTCGATCGATGGCCACCTCTCCAGCTACAGACCGACGCATCCTCAAAGTGTCATCTCCGGGTCCGAAACTATGAGCTCCAGGACCTTGGTCGGGCTGCGATCGACTACATCGACACACCTGCAACGCAGTGGTGTTGCTGCCGCTACCGCCGTCAGCAGTAGTAGTACTAGTAGTAGTGGCAGTGCCCCGCGTCGATGTCTTTCCTCGGCTTCCGGTCGGCAAGTGCAGCAGAGTGCCGAGTTCTCCTCCAGCAGCAAAACTTGGGATCGTTTAGGTCGCCGCGCCAAGGAGAAGCTCCTAGACCGCGAATTCTTTCTCAGCTTGTTGAACTCCGCCTCAACCAAGCGTGAGGCCAAATCTTATTTGGCCCGTCTTAAAGCTCAACACCAAGGAACTACTCCCCTGAAGCCGGCCGCCAAGCAATCCGGAGTATCGGAAGCGACAGCACCAGTGTCGTCGGGTGCCAGTTCAACCTCATTCTATGGCGCCTCCCGATCGGTCTATGACAGCCCCGTCTTCAGACATGACTCAACTCCAACACCTCCCCTTCAAGATGTGTCCGAGCGCCTGCACCTGGCCCTGGTCAAGATAACCACTCCGCAGCTTCTCGATGACTCGACCGTCAACGGCGTGGCCAAAACCCTCTCGCAGCTGAATCGTCTGGGAATGGCTTGTTGTGTGGTAGTCGACCCGGGCACAGCAGGCGATCCTAACAAACTGCGGAGGATTGCGGCCGAGCAGGCAGATCGCATCTCAACAGCTGTGGATGCCCAGCCGGACTCGAAATCAGCTCACATCGACTCTGTCCTATCCGTTTCTGCGCTAAACCCTGAGGCGCCCAAAGTCCTATCCCGGAAGGTACTGCTCGGGCCGTTGCGCGATGGTCACGTCGTGGTCTTGGCCCCCATTGCTTACACAGAAGACGTTCCTCGAGCAGTGACAGTCTCGGCCAGCGATGCCATCCTGGCCCTCACCAAAGAGCTGGCCGGACTGGCAACAAATCCTGACCCTGATGAAGACCCAATACTGACGGCCCAACGGATCGCGGCCCTGCAGGAGGAAGTGTCTTTGGATCGAGTCATCCTCCTGGACCCCTTGGGCGGGATTCCTGCTTTCAGTGGGCCTCAGACATCCCATGTTTTCATTAATATGGAACAGGAATTCGACGATATTGAGAACGAGTTGCTGCGGGTGTGGCAGTCGGCAGCATCTGCAAAGAATAATCTTCCTGAGGAAGGTTTACCGTCCATTGCTGATAGCAATCCTCTCTCCAAATTCGCCGACACGGAAGTCGTCCCAGTGCCCCCTAGTCAAAAAGCGTACTCGGCAGACCTAACCTTGGATACAAGCATGGTGGAGGGCCACTTGAATAATCTGCGACTAAGCCAAGCCGCACTGGCGATGCTACCCTCGGCATCGTCTAGTATCATCACCTCCCCACTCGAAGTTGCAAATTCAGCACAGAGCCCCGGAGGCGCTAGTCCAGATGTATCAGCTGTTGGAACCCGACGACAGAGGAACCCGCTCATCCATAATCTTCTGACCGACAAGCCTTTGCTCTCGTCTTCTTTGCCCCTAAGCCGACGTGCAGCCCTAAATGGCAGAGGGGACTCGATTGTTACACAGGCCTCCCACACCACGTTTGTCAAGCGAGGCATGCCGCTGACCATCATTCCGAATCCATGGCTTTCACCTTGGACGGCCAGAGATCGACCGCGCCTGGGGCTCGATGATCCCTCGATCGACCTGCCCCGACTGGTCCATCTCATCGAGGATTCCTTTAACCGCAAACTTGACGTACAAGACTACCTCAACCGAGTCAACGGTCGCCTGGCCGGACTCATCATTGCAGGGGAGTATGAAGGAGGCGCCATCTTGACCTGGGAGCTTCCTCCCGGCGTAGAGGATGATGGAAGTGAGGCGAGCCAAGCTCGCATGGTTCCCTATCTGGACAAGTTTGCCGTTCTGAAACGTAGTCAAGGTGCCGGTGGTGTGGCCGATATCGTCTTCAATGCAATGGTGCGCTCTTGTTTTCCGAATGGCGTGTGCTGGCGCAGCCGCAAGGACAATCCGGTGAACAAGTGGTACTTTGAGCGCTCTCAGGGGACATGGAAATTATCGGATATGAATTGGACCATGTTCTGGACTACTCCAGGACTGACGGACGATTCTCAAAAGTTTCGGGATTACGAGGCCGTGTGCCGCAGTATCCAGCCGAGCTGGGCTGATGACACCGGTGTTGTGGATTGATTGATTACCTGAACATATTCGTAACACATGTATATACCCATTATCCGCTTGTTCGTTCGAAGTGAGGACCTAGGTGCTTCGTATCTTCTCGTAACGAGCTGCATCAATTCCAACCTAATTCATTTCAAGTCGGATTCTTCGACCGTGGAAAAGTGGGATCATTATGATGCGCAGCGACGAGAAAGTGATCAACTGAGTAGATCTTGGAATAGCTTCAAGAATAAATTACACGGCATCCAACCGGCCAATAGGGACGTAATATACGAAAGGATCTCGATCATATAATAACCGTGGACCTGTAGTCTTCGTCCCTGTTGCGATTCATAATCGATCGAGAGAACCATAAAGAGCACTACTGCCATAGCAAGGAGTAAGGTAGTGCTCAATAGATTCTCCCAGCTGATGGAGCTTGGCTAAGTACTAAGTATCTATCAAATGGGGGAGGAAGATGGATGAACTATTGATCCATCCATCATCCGGGCATTCGAGGACCACTTCCCAAAGTGGACTAGTGCTCGTGCGGAGGTCCTCGTACACCAATTGGGGGCACGTGGTTGGTCGCCCTGGCTGACTCAGCCCTTTCCCCCCACAGGGATCTTTTAGCAGATTCCGATAAGACAAGCAAGAATTTCGGCAATTAATCTCTCTCCTGGCCTCTTTCGATCGCGCGCTTCCAGAAACGCAAGGAGATCTTCGGCCTCCAGCCAGACAGAGCTGCCTGCTTCTTCCATCATCTTTCCAAATCAAACGGTGTGGGGTTATTCTTCTCAATGACTATGCACTTATCAGCGCTTTGTCGCGATTAGCATCCCATCCTCCTCTCTTTCCCCTCCTCTCTCTTTTTCCCCTCGTTTTCCCCTCCCAGTCCCGAGAGATTCAATGCTTTCCCTCGGCCTTGCGATCTAGCCGGGTCCAACGAGTGTGGATGACTTGACTAGGCACAAATCACTGTTGAAACCACCGATCGATCATCTTGCAGCTCCTCCCGCTCTAAAATCCTACCCACCTCTCGGTGTTAGCCCGGGATTCTGACCTGTCATATCTGCCCGATAAAAAAAAAAAAGAAATCAATCGCCATCGCTACCGCTTATGATCTTCGGTTTGCGCCAACCATAAGACACAATTGGGGCGCATCATGCCGCCAACCACAGCTCCCACCACTGCCACACCGAAGCTGGCCTCTCCAGGTTTCAATGCTGGCGCCAGACCCTACCGGTCACACAAGGTTAGGGCCTGCGACTTGTGCAGGAAACGCAAATCGCGATGCACCGTTGACATCCCTGGTCAATCATGCCTATTATGCCGCGTTCAAGGAGCGGATTGTCACTATCAAGAAGAGGCCAATAATGATCCTCCACTCACTAACGGCCATGAATCGAAACCGTGGGTGCCAGATCACACGCGCGTCTCGTCGCTAGGACAGAAACGGAAGCATACCCCAGACGCAATCGATTCCCCGTCGCACCCCAGCCGCCGCCGCGCTTCCAGCGTCGCACATTCGGACTCAGCCCTAGACCGTCGGAGAAGTGATTCCAGGAGCCAAGGGGTCGATGACCCCCATAATGAGTCGGTCTTAATTGTTGGCCCTGTCGTGGCCGAGGATGCCCAGGTTATCGAGAGATACATGCCGCCGGAACGGACCAGCAAATCGGTCGAACCAAAAAGCCAGCCATACAACGTCTACTCGAGCGATCCTCGGAAGCCCATTCTTTACACTACTGTATCCCGGCGGAGGCAGGGTATGCGGGTTGGAGTTCCTCCCGGGGAGAATCAAAAGGAGATTCTCGAGCAGATCCTTGGCCCATTCAAGCGCGACCTAGTTAGACTGTACGCTTTCCCGTAGAACGGACTCCGGGGGTAGTTTGAGACACCATGCTAATTCTCCTTCTCAGATTCATCGACCGGTTCAATGCAGCATTTCCGATCTTTGATGGGGAAAGTTTTTGGGAGGCGTTCTTGTCGGAGTCCCCAGGTGACCCGCCAGCCTCGCTCCTCTGCCAGGTCTATTCGATGTCGCTAGTCTACTGGAAACACACTCCTAAGCTGGCCTGTCACCCAAAGCCAGATGCCCGGTACGCGGTCAATATGACTGTCGCTGCGCTCCACGAGGAATTTTCGGCGCCTGGGCTCTCAACAGTCAGTGCAGCCCTCATCGATCTTACAGGTCGGCCCATCTTCTCAATGACAGGAAATGCCATCAGCTGCGGGCGCATGATTTCCCTTGCACATTGTCTCGGACTGAACCGCGATCCAAGCCACTGGAAACTGTCCCGCCCCGAAAAGAACCACCGCATGCGGCTTTGGTGGGGCGTCGTTATCCATGATCGCTGGTAAGCCTATCTGACTTACGCCCATAAATGGATCTGGCGTCTCACTAACATGCACTCAGGGGGAGCTTTGGTCACGGCGTGCCTCCTCAGATTGCGAAAAATCAATACGATGTTCCTCTTCCAACGATTGAAGTTCTGATTCCCCAGGCTTCTCGGACCCCCGAGCGCGTGCGAGCTGCGCATTGCCACATTGCTCTGTGCCGACTCACTGAGATCTTAGGCGAGCTATTACCCCTTGTCTACGGCTTGCAGTCTCGAGCCCACCGCGAAACGACGAAGAAGGTGCGACAAATTCGCACAGATCTCGACGCGTGGGAGGACTCTCTCCCCGACTGGCTTCGCAACCCCATTAGCACAAATACCACGGAGGAGCGCATCTCCGGGACAAGCAGTCTGCAGCTCGGCTTCCTTGCAGTGAAGATGCTTGTCAGCCGTGTCGAACTCAACGTGTGTACCATTGGACCCTATCTATTGGATTCGCTTCTTTACTAACTTTGCCTAGGAGGTCAACAACGCCGAAGCAGATAACCCGGAGGCGCGCCGCTACTTCCAAACAGAATGTCGGCGATCCGCCGAAGAAATCGTGCAATTCATCTCCTCCCTCCGGAAACAGAACTTCCAGGAATTCTGGCTCCCATGTATGCTGCATCCTCAAGATATCCTACATGATCCGGCGAAGAAACCGAGATGGCACTAACAACTTTACAGACAGCGCTTTCCACCTAACCACAACCGCCACCCTCCTCGTCCGCTGCGCTCTCGAAACCACCGACCCCGAAGTGGCCCGCTCTTGCCTAGCCAACGTCGAAACCTTCCGATCCATCCTCCGCCGTGTTCGCGAAGAAGAAGATTGGGACGTCGCCGACATGTGCCTCGATCACTGCGAGCGTCTCCTCAACCGCCTGAACAACAGCACCGGCGCCACCACCAGCGCTGAACATCCGCCCACTTTCACAGATCTTGGCCAGCCACCAGATAGCACCCACCCTCATCGATTAGTGAATCCCGCCGCCATCGCCCTCCCAGAGACACAAACGAACAACGATATTGTCGACGACATGATGAGCATCTCCGGGACATTCGGCACGATGGACGGCTTTCCATTCGACATGACAGGCATATGGGATGTTTCCGTATTCCAGGATGTTAATCTGACATAAGGGTGCCGCTCAGAAGAGGTCATAGTTATCATCTGGCTGCTTGCTATATCCTCCTCATTTCAACTTGGGAGTAGATTTTTTTTTTCTTTATTGTTTGTATTTGGTCTAACCGGTTACAATGGTTGTATTCAACAACAGTACGTATGGATCGGACATAGGATGGTGTGTGTGGTTTTGTGAAGCTTTTTATTCATATACCCAACTTCGTTTGCGCGGTTTCTCCTCTAGGGAGTGTGATTGATTAGATTTGGTGTCTGACTGTATATATAAGGATACAAGTGTCATACAGCAATGATAATATTCGTTAGTAGTTACAGTATACTGATGGAACTTACCAATGAATGTAATAATTCTGTAAGGAATCATAATAGAGTGGATAGTCAAATCCGCATAAAAACAGAGTATGGCGCAAAAACCTTATAATAGCTTGTATAAGCTTCTCTGATTAAGGCCCATACAAAAGATAATCTTAGCTTGGCTGTTTACAAGTAAAGTCTTATAGAACTTTCTGGTATCAGGATCTGTCAGAATATCGTGACTAAAATACTTAAGACCTATACTTGTAAAACCTTTGGAGTTATAGGTCCAGATAAGAATATTTCCCTCAGTAAAGCCACATTTTTTTTCAGAGACCACAGAATTATAAGTATTTGCTGCTTGTCATCATTATTACTAGCTTTTATAGATATATTATTCGCCTCTGAAACAGCAGCATAGTCAAGAATTACAGCTACTTCAAAGATTAAACTACTGCGAAAGGGTATATAAGCCGAATCTTCACTGAAATCAGATATTTCTTATTATAGCTGGAGTGATTCTCTGATCTTGTTAAAGATCTCTTTATTATTATTTAGAGTGATTTATAATGCAATATCAAAATCTTTTTTAAACACAGCCTTGATCCTTTCTTTCTATCTTTTTTTCTTAGCAGCTGCCTTCTGTCGTGAGTTGAAAACAGCCCAGTATTAGATCTGTCTATCTGGTGCCTTACGGGGACTAATATTTGTCTTAGTCGAAAGTTCTTTGTTCAGGGCTAGATTTCTTGATCCCAGTTGATTCAATATTCCGTGATGGGTCCTGAAAGCTCTGCAGAACAGGGCCTGAAGTAGATTGCTGCAGGCTTGATACTATCCATCAGTCACCGTGTCCTTAGGGAAACCCCAGAGCCTGATGAATATAGCATATTAATAACCGTTTCCTATCCACAGGTTAAAGTAGTAGAGTCTTGCTGTTGATTCTATAATAATTTGCTGGGCATATTAGCACACAATCTGCTGCTGTGATAAAGAGTATTAGCTTATATATAACCTTCACCATGATGTATCTCAGTCATTATATACAATACTTGCGTTATCTAAAGGCATATTCCAGGGCTCATTACTATTACTTTGTCATTGAATACTTGTGTCCAGTGCAGTTCTTGTTACTTCATGGCCCTGGAACTGGATAGTATGTAAACTTATAAGGTGGATCAGAGATTCTGTTACTTTCTCCACACTACTATGCTTATCAATGATCTCAGGATAGTTGTAATGAGGCGATGATGATTCCGGTAATATTCCTTGTATAATTCCATTGATCATTTTACTGCACAGTGGCTTAAGGTATGGAAAGATGAATCTTTCGTGCAGTGAAAGCTCCTAAGACTGGTCATTACTAATGGTAATTGTTTCTGGCAAAGTTAAATACTCACATCCCTCATGCTTCATCGATAGCAAACCACGTCTTGTCCGAATGCTCGGGTGACTGGACAGATATATTCAGATTTACTAAAGTGTAACGGTCCAATGTCCTCTGTCTTTTAAAATAGATCAATTCTGATACTGAGCTCTGTCTCTTAGTGGTGAACCCTTCCTCCTACTCGACATGCCAAAGTCCTGTGAGACCCGTGACTACCGCCGTTCGCGCTGCCACACAGAGCACCACCTCGTTTCGGTCTGTCTCCTGCGACATCTCCTGGCTTCCATTACCTATCTCGCGCCCTACACCGCCCAGTGCAACGCGGTTCGCACGACACTGAGCATCCTTCACCTTCAGGAGCCCACCGTGGGTTTCAACCGCATCCTGGTGAAGACAACCGATTCGTTCCAGGGCGGCAAGGTCGCGGTTATGTTTCTTGACACCACCGCCACTGACAGACCCGGATTTCTCAAGCAGCGTGGTCGTCTGAACGTGGCGCTCAGTCGGGCACGGGCAGCGATATATGTCATCGTGAATGTGAAGCAGTGGAACAAAGCGAAGCAGAGCAGCGGGGTGTCTACATACGTCCCATGGTGGATTTCCTTTTCTTCAAACAGAAAATGTCGCGTTCGCATTCCCCCCAGCCATGGTGGAGGAAGCAAACCCGTCGGATGAAGCAGCTGCCGACTGCAAAGAGGTTGCCATCCCAGATGGATTCAAGGCCCGTGGCACAGACCCTTGGCCCTTGGATAATCCTTCTTCTGGTATAGATGAGACAACTGGACCGCTGCCCATGGATACAGCAGGGTTTGTAAACTCCTCCCCAGCTGGCTGGAACGTTAGGCAATCGGATGCCTCTGCTGTTGGTCCATCTCAGGCTCCCTGCCGCCGCCAATGATTTCCCCGGAGATCCCCAGGAGATGGACTGGTATGGCGAAGGGTCGAGCGATCATACCAAGAGCCAGAGCAGGTAGCCAGCTGGTAGAGACCCGTTGCGGGGATTTGGAGCCATGGAGAGAGCCCATGCCTTGGGGTTCGCTACCTTACTTTTCTAGCTTTTGGTTTTGTTTCTCGGTGCCCTATGGATCAGATTGGAGGAGACGGTAAGATTGCCGTCACTGATGGAAACAACTCTGCATTCCAATTGTTATTGTGACTTGTTCTGTCTCGAGCCCTTTCCAGCGGTGGGGCCTGTTTACTCTTGCCACTCACCATGGTGTGCAAATTCTACTGAAACCTAATTATATACACCGAGTTCGAAGTCCTATCCCGGATGTATCCTAAAGCCAGTCATGAACATGCTGGGCTCTCTGGTTGATCCTTCTTTCAATAACTCTTACCACCGCCAAATGTATCCAAGAGGAAGGGATCCTGCATCAGTCGGAGCCCAGCAAGTGGGCTGATCAGATCGATATTTGGCTCCGGCGCTCGACGCGCTGGAATTCGGAATCAGACTGCGCAGACCATTCACTCGTTCGACTGCACTAAAACGAATTCACCGTTCCCACAGCAAGTAATCAAAATTTTCACATCCGCTACAGTTTTCTTTTCATCCTACCATCTGCTCCTATCTTAGCTTCCTTCCTGATCAAAAATCCCAGAATCATCCCGTCATGTCGGGTTCATCTCATCCTGGGCAGTCCTTCACAGATCGTCAGGCCGACCCTACCAAAGGGGAGATGTGGCATCTCGACGCACTTGGAATAGACTACGCGGAAGGCAAGCAAGATGTACGAAATACACTAGTCCGTCTCGCCCAAACATTTACGCCCATGCAAAACCCCAAAGGCGGCAATAAAAAGCGCTTTATCAAAGAACACCTCGGTAGCCGGATTGAAGAGTTTCCTCGATTTGTCCGCGACAGCCACAAAAAGGATGCTGACCGAACCATCAACCTCCTCTACCAGGTCTTCATCAAAGGACGCAATAATGCTCAGAAAAACGCAGATTACAACATGGATAGGGCAGCGTCTCGTCATTCCCCCCAGCGCAGGCGCAGAACGCAGACCAGGCACCGCGGGTCTAGAACCGTGGACGACGATGACAGCAATGACAGCAATGATGACCACGGTAACGATGATGATATCCCAGTATCATCTCCTGCACCCTGGCAACGAAAGCGACCGCGCTCTCATCACGTCCACCAAGCAGCCAACAATATCAGCTCACGCGAGTCGGCCAGGCAAGGACATCGTAAAGATCCTGACGGTGATAGCGTAATGAGTGATGTCAACAGCGATCATGAGAATGACAACGGTGATGCTATAATGGATGACGAGGCCAGTGATCTTAGATATCCCGATATCAAGCCCCCTGCGCCAGCAATCCCAAGCCCAGGTGACAGGCCTCGCCCTTGCACTCTGCCAAGTATTGACGTTGAAGTCTATCGTCCTGGCCAGCCTGAAGCTGTTGGTATAACAAACACAGTCCTTCATATTGAAGCAGGCGTGGCTTCTGAGCCCAGATGTATCTCCCACGATAGCTGGGTAAAGTTTCTAGTAGAGGATTGTCGATACAAAAGCGGGACGGAAGATGTGTACTCGCTGGGTGTTCGAGAGCTGGCCACCCAGCCGATTAACACGGCAAACCGCCTCCGGATGATGCTGCTCAAGACCAAGGGACAGATCTGTCGCTGTGAGATCCGGCCTAAGGACCATCTGTATGCATCACCATCGAATCCCGCCAGTCATTTGAACAACCGTAACTCTCTGGAGGCAAAGGGGAGATGCCAGCCTAGGCTGAATTTTGGCAAAGAAAGGGGAGAGTCACCACAAGAGTGGTCGGAGGGTCTTTCCAGGAACCATGACATCCCTCTACCAAAGTGGCCAGGTTCCCGTAAGCCGGATTCTACTAAAGAAGGGAGAAAGTCACAACGACAGGGGATCAGTGATCTTTCCAGTAACAATGTCACCCGGTCAGAGATGAGTTAAAAATCCACTGTCAACCTCGGTTTTGGTGGAAACGGCTCTTCACGGTGAAATTTTATCTTGACCATCAGACGATCATCCCTCCGTCACAACACGATCGGAACAGTCGTTAGATGAACAAGTTATCTTGGTGGTATCCTTGAATATTTCTAGCGTGCAAGGACAGAACGTGGCATGAACGGGGCGCTATTACATGAGACAAGCAATCTACGAGTATTATCAAAACCAAAAAAAATAAATAACATTATGTACCATCAGTAGCTGCTCGCCTTCATAAATCATCTTCCTACAGCCACTTGACCATGGAGTCCACTCCATGGACCCTTCGCTGGCTGTTGGCTCTGCTGCATTTTGGCCCGTGACCGAGTCAATCGTGCCCCCGACGGCCACATACTGTCCTCGCCCGATTCGCCCTGCCGGTCACGTAAGGTATCCTCCAGGTTCTGGTTAAGTATCTCATAGACATCTTCCAGCGCCTGTTGCGCATCCTGCGCTGTCTCTATCCCTTCCTCCAGTCGGTACTCGACGTATTCTTGTTCAGCCATGCCTGCTGCATTTGAAGCAGATGCCCATGCCTCGGCCAGGTCAACAAGTTGGTCTGGCTTGGCAGACTCTGTGCTCGTGCCCTGGTGCAAAGCTAGAGTTGCTGTCGCATGTTTGAACCGTGGCTGGCGTGCCAGAGTTGGGTACTCTGGGAGAAGGTGGCTTTCATCTCGCAGTCTGCTCAGAATGCGAAGGGTGGTGGCTTTTTCTTTCGCAAGCATACCCGACAGGTAGAATTTCTGTAGTGCCAATGCGCGCTGGCTCCTGGCCAACGGCTGAAGGACATCGCTGGCAAAAGTAAGGACTCCCAAAGCATCCAGAGATTGTGTGCCCTCTGATGCATTCTTCCCCTGCACCAAGCTAGTAGGCCGTGATGAGGGCTTTGCCGCCGGGAGAGTAACTGGTTGGCAAGCTCTGGAGGCAGCATCAAGCAGACGCTTGCGAGCATCCGCATATGCAGCGTATTGTTGTGCAATATGTGCTTTCTTCTCCCCAAGCAGACGCACAGACTCATCCATGTCCTCCGAATGAAAATCTCGAGAGGCCAAACGGTTCTCGTTGTTTCCAGCACTTACTAATTTCTCCTCCACCCAGCGCACCAACTCATTACGAGTTCGCTGTAACGCCACGCCCTTAACTGCGCGTGGAATATCTTGGGCCTCTACGGGCGCTTGCTGCGCCTGAAGTTCTTCTAACAGCCCTTTCTCTCTCTCCAGCTGAGCCTTGGCGCGGATAACGGCTTTCTCCAGGCTATGCATCTGCTCTTCGACGGTAAGCCCGGTGGTAGAGCCATGTCGTGTAACTTCGGCTACTGGTGGCGGTGCAAGCTGCTGATAATGAATCCCACTATCCTCTAAATCCGCTGGTCTGGGCGTATCACGTTGTTTGAGCTCTTTGATGTAGTGTTCAAAAACCTGAAGCTTCGCATGTCGACGCCGGTCACGGAGAAGCCGCAGGTACTCCTGTAACTCCGCAGACGAATCCACTGTTAAATTTTCCGCCCGTGGTTTGCTCCTTTCAAGGCCCACAGAAGTTAACTTCTCCACAACTGACTGATATTCCCTCCTTGCAGCCACATTCGACTGGAGCGCTTCTAGGTACTGTCTTCGCAACCCTGTCAACTCTGATGGAAGCCGCTTGACATCGACCACTGCTTCGTGAGGCACTGATAACGCCAGATGGGATTGACTGTGGCATTCTGGGTGCTCGGTATTATTTTCTGCGAACTCGATATGGGAGCGAAGATATATGGTCAGAGCTTGCCGAATCAGCAGGGCATCCTGGCGGCTTTTGATGTAAGGTGCCAGAGGTTCGGCGATTGAGGGGATGTGGGTGGGTGTTGCGTGAGTCAACTCAACAGACTGCGCCATTGGACTGACTATTTGTGCGCAGACGTAATTATCCCGCCAAATCCGAGCTTGTTGGGTTGTCAAGGTAAGGCTTGTCCCTTCGACAAGATAGTTAAGATACCCGTGATGTTGAAATAAGGTTCTTCCTGTTGTTATGAAATGGTTGCAGACGGGTGTTATTCCGATGTCGATCACACTAAGGGGTTCCACCGGTTCCCACTCTAGTCCAGGGAAGCTGAAATGAACTCCTTTCCCACCCTCGCTGTGTCTTCCCCCACTGTCATACGCGCCGTTCGTTACTATCCGCTATGAGGGCTACCAGGTGGCTGGATAACATGCAAGAGGGAAGCACCATCGAGGAGTCAGGAACACGATGCGGTGACCTCGGGTCATGTGACCACTCCCGTTCACAAGTGTGCCCTTCGAAGTTCTGAGGAATATACTATGAGGAAGAGACTTCGGAGTCAAGGTTTCTGGAATATTATTACAAACTAGTCTTCATCATCGCCCATAGCCCTGGCTGACTTCATGCAAGCAGTATGATATGCGTATAATTCAAGCTATACTGACATATTGATTGTATCTATTTACTGACAGCTATAGTACTAAAACTAGATCGTCTGCAACTCAGTATATCATTTACACATCGATCCCAATGATATGACATCTTAGATACTATGCTGCCAGCTGCTCTTCCCAACCCGATTTACTGGATCACACTCTGGTTGAGGTACAGGTCGCAGGCATGCGGACGCTGCACACAATACTTGGGGACCAGGGCTGTCGCCTGCACCCCGTTGGCCACTAGATACTCGCGGAAGTTCAGAATGCGCTGGGTCATCAGCGTCGTGCGCTTCTGCCCGTTCTCACGATTCCCAGACCATACCAGCTCCGCCAGCGCAGCGGCACGCGGCCAAATTAGACTGGAGACCGTCACATCATCCACTTGCTCTGACCAGAGCGGTGCCTCTGCCCCTATGATGTGCTCAGCCTGGGTAGCGGTTAAATTCTGTGTGAAGTCGTAGTCATAGATCCGCTGCCATGTCTTGTACGGCGCACACCACGAGCCCCCGTTGCCACCATAGTTGAAGTTGGGAGTGCTTGCATCGGGATTACTCATTACATCATAGCGAGGGTCATTTGTGAGAAAACCTCCTATCCCACAGTCCAGATACATAAAATCCGCTGATGATACAATCACATCGTAACCCTTGGCAGTCAGTTGATTAATATAGTCCAGGCCATTATTCCAGGTCTGCATCACGATATTCGTGGGAACTTCATGTGCATGTTCTGTGGATAGTACAATGTCTTCCCACATGACCAGCCGTCGCGAGGTACTGTAGTTCTGGAAGATCGGCACAGCATGGTCGATCCAGTACTGAGCTAGGTCATTATAAGTACGCGACGGATCTTGCGCAAACCACTCAGTGACGTAGCTGCTGAAGTTGAAACAGTTCGGCTGGATCTCATCCGCCCCAACATGGAACCAGTTGTCTGGGAAGATACTGGACAGCTCATTGTAGACCTGTCGGACTACCTCATAGGTGCCGTCATAGATAATATCCATCTGGCCAGGCGGGGGCTCTACTGCAGTATGCAGGGCATAATTATCATTGGACCACCAGGAGTCGACGCAGGTCACCATCTGGGGGTCAACCTGCTTCCATCCAGAAGCGGAATGGCTGGGCATATCAAGCTCAGGGATAACCCGTACACCGCGCGCTCGCGCATAGGCCACGACATTGCGCATATCAGCATGCGAATATACTTCGCGAGGAGAGTAAGCATCATAAATCATTTCTGGGTGTGCATCAATCTCCACGGGCCACGATTGGGTGTCTTCCATGTGCCAATGTAGAACATTTAGTTTAGAAAGAGACATGCCGTCCAGCTGCTCGTATATCTTGTTAACCGAGATGAAGTTTCGACCAGTGTCAATCATAATGCCCCGGTAAGGATAAAGCGGGGCATCCTGGATCTTGACTGGCTGTTCGACTATCAAGCCACCCTGTCCTTCGGCGATGACCAGCTGCTGGAGAGTGGTAAAGGCATGAAGCGCCCCCCACACGGTAGGAGCCTCAATGACCACGGAGGTAGAGCTCTCGGTGACCTCCAGGGTGTAAGACTCGTCCACCCCATGCTGAAGATCTGCGGCAACATCCAACACGTTCACATCAACAAATTGGAGCGATGGCAGTGCCTGCGGGGACCTTTTAGTAGCCCCGGCCGTACCGGTGGGGAAGGGTTGATAAGACGGCACGGGACCTTCGGTTGCTGCAGGTACCCATTGCAGGGAGACGATAGAATTCCAGGCACGATTCCATCCATTGGCCAGAATGAAATCAGAAGTGTCCCTGGAGGTACGGAGACTAACGAAGTCGGCCAGCTGCTTAGGACCCGACGAAGCCCAAGTGATGTTGCGTGGAGCTGGTAAGGGATTTACCTTGACGGCAGCGGCCCCAGCCACGAGCAACGTGAGGCACGCCAGCCAGAGATGATGAAGCAGCATGGCGGAGAATTAGTGTCGACACTCAGAGCGAGGACGGATGAAGAGTGCAGAGAATCATGGTGGGGGAAATTGGGGTTAAAGAAGCAAAGAGGATAGGGATCAGCGGTGGCTGGATGCAGGGAGATACCGTGAAACGGGGGAATGCTCGAATGAACAGGAATGATGCGAAGCTATCTTGTTCTATTTGACATAGTTGCCGCAGGTAACTAGTTACCTAGTTAGTTACTACGGAGTACTTTGTAATCATTATTGAGTCTAATTTGAACGATGATCAACATCTGCCCGTGGAATGATGTTTGTTTGTTTGTTTGTTCCATTGCTTACTACTATGTATACTCCGGATTCCAGCGCCTTATGGGCCTTGGTTCTCCACGTGACCATTGACTTCCGTTCCATAAGGTACCTACCCACTAAAGATGGTAGGCGGTCACCCGCCCCGTCATTATGCAATGGGCCATACGGAGTCCAGGCGGCAAGCATCGCGTACCTGCGCGATTCCGCCCTCTGGGTTTCTGTTGTTGAACTTCTAACATCTTACTTTCACATTTACTTACCTTAGCTCGGTTGTTGGAACTAATTTTGGGTCCACGAGGCTGTGCATAACCGTATATTTTAATTGTACGCAGTCCTATTGGATCCGGGATTAACTAGGTGTCTCTACGCATTCTTCCGGTAGTACTTTTGGTTACATCGCAGTGTTTGGCTCGCGACTCCCGATGACATCGATCATTTATGAGACATCAATAACCACGACAAGCCTAATTCTGAAGCGCTTTCTTTGGAATCCCTCCCCATTACGGGCGTGGGACGTCCTGCGAGTACCAACGCCAATCCGCGACGCAATTGGCGCAGCATGGAGGATATTCGACCGACCGCGAAATGGGCGAATCGCATGTTGCGCCCCTTAAAATCCATCCACCACCGACTCCAGAAACACTACGAGATTCGCAACAGCATAGCAGACACGAAGTCAAAAGTCAAGCCCGATCCCCACGATTCCCACCGTTCGCGAGCCCCGCTAAACAACAAGAGAGCCGGTAACGAACCAGGCTGCAATCTTTCAGACGAGGAACCCGACGATCCAGCATGGATCCCAGGAAACCGGGGAAATCGCCGGCCCCGGCATAATTACTCGAATCGCGGACAGAGGAATGGCGCACGGAGACGTAGTCGGTTGTTGATCAAGAGCCCGGAAGTGCAGAGGACGCTGCCTGGCGCTATCGAAATCGCTACCCCATTGATCACAGGAACTATACCAGGACCCACGGAAGCGACCTTATCTATTCGCAAACGGCTTTTTCGGAATTCGGGACCACCCTTGAGCGCTGTCGGGGCCAACAGGCAGTCGCGGACGAATAATCCCAGTTTTCCGGCATACCAGGGCTCATGGAAGGAAGTTTTGGATCTTTCTGGAGACCCGGGCTTGGTGGATATTGCGCGATTCTTGGATCGCATGCTTATCAAATTTTTGGAGAATACCAGGCCTGCTCCGACAATACACAAGCATGACGAGGAGAATCGCGGGGCCCGATCGTTACTATCTATGGCTGCGCGACGGCTGCCGGGGTTCATCGCCGAGGAGCAGCGCCTGCAGGATCAGGTGGAGCCGGATGAGGATGTTGACATGTGTGATGCATACTTTACTGAACTTGAAGCTCAATATGCTCCTGGCGGCGGTGGGTGGCAGCCGCTCCGTGAAGCTGTGCGTGCGCAAGGCATCCACCTGATCTCTGAGATGATGATGAGAGAATGGATACCCAGTTTGGCGGTCTGTCGCCTGCTAGGGGAATGTCTTGAGCACGGGGAGTTGGATGCCTTCGAAACACTTATGTCACAATATCTTACGACCATCAAGACTCACGACTACCCAACAGCTTTTGATCCTTCGAAGCCTGTGGGCCACTGCGATAACCCTATCTACATATTGCGCAGTTACTACTCGAAGGCCCCCGAACGAAGATCCTTTGTTTTTGATGAGATGACAAAGCTCCTGTCTCGTAGGGCTCTTCCGCCAGAGTGGATGGTCACTACAAGATGGAAAAAGTGCGTGGATGGGGCTATTCGGTCATTGTCAATTGGCGACGGAGATTCAGCTGCTGCGACCCGGACTATCGAGGCTATCATCCTTTCATCTGCTGGTATATATCCCGCCACGGATTCGCTGGTAGCTCGGAACAAGGGGAGAAAGGTACCTCGTTCTGTACGTCTGAAGGACACCCGTGCATCGGTAACGAATCCTACAAGGGTGCCTAAAGATCAATCTCCGTGTCCTGTTCCCATCCAAGATGCGCTCAGTAATCTTTCAGCGAGTCTAGTTACCGCACTGTGCGGCATGTATATGGCACGGACGCAAGCCTCCGGTGCCAATGACAAGATAACAGGCACGAAAGTCAGACATATTGTCGGAACGTTGTCTTTTGGGGTACAACGGGCAGTTGGATTGGTACTGTCGCGGCGCGAGATGGAGGGTCCAAGCTTTCAATCCCTGCGTCGGGGATACGTCTTGTTGGGTGAGTGGACGCTGCAGTGCACTGAAAGTTCCACGCCTGAGGTCATTAGCCAGTCCGGCGCCATCTCGCCAGAAAATCTAGAGTCGCTTTGTATATCGTTGATACACCAACAGGATGCAGTCAAACAGCTAGCAGAGTTTGTCCAACAACTGTTTCGATGCTGTGGACATGCGCGCGAAGATGATCCTGCGAGGACACCTCGAAAAATTCGAGCTATCGTATGGCGGCTTGCGCGGCTGACGAGTATGAAGGGCATCTCTCTGCTCCTCGCCAAGGTAGCTGCGGAAACAGCAATGGCGTTGGCGGAGGTTACATTGGATGTGGATGACCACGCGTGGGCT